GGTTGAGCTATAGGCGCCGAGCCCCGCCTTACTGATTTTAAAATCTGGTCACCCTAGGCAAGAGGATCACTTGAGCCCAAGAGTGTGAGGTTGCTGTGAGCAATAATGCCACAGCACTCAACCCTAGCGTGACTGAGTAAGACTCTCAAAAAAAAAATCCATTTTTTAGGCCATAGTAACAAAATGTTGTATAATATTGAGATCTGTATATTGTCAGAAGCCATTGACTAAAATTAGCTCAAATTTATATCATTACCTGCATACAGACAGTACATTATTTAGTAACATTGCCATCTAGTGCTAAGGAGCAAATAATACTGTGAAGTCTTAGTATTATGGTATTAAATTCCATTTCAGTTTTATAATTTCCTTATTAAGCTTCTCTTGGGACTATGTCCCCAATATGTTTTGTTTTATTTTGTTTTTTCTTCCTGTGATCAAAAGTAATATCTGCCTAATAATGCTCCCAGTATAATAACTAATAAATCCAAATAGAAATAGCTGTAAACATTAAGTGAGGAAAGCACGATGTAAAACCTCGTCTCGTATATTAGAATTTTGTGTTGCACCATATGCTGTTGCTCTTTGAATTCAATTTCCTGAAGGGACTGTACATATTAAATGCTTGATTTAAGCAAAGCATTATGGATCTCAGAATCCAGCCCAGCCATGGTGGCTTACACCTGTAATCCCAGCACTTTGGGCCAAGGCAGTATCATGTGAGGCAAGAAACCAACTTGAGTAATGTAGTGAGACTGCATCTCTACAAAAAAGATAAAAAATAAATTACCTGGGTATGGTAGCACATGCCTCTATTCCTGACTACTTGGAAGATTGGGTTGAGAGGATCACTTATGCCCAGGAGTTTAAGACTGCAGTGAACTATGATCATGCCATTGCACTCTAGCCTGGGCAACAGGGTGAGAACATGTCTCTTTTTAAAAAAAAAAAAAAAAAAAGTGGGGCATGGTGGCTCACACCAGTAATCCCCACACTGTGGGAAGCTAAGGAGGGAGAATTGCTTGAGCTCATGAGTTCAGGACTTGCCTGAGTGAGAGTGAGACCCCAACTCCTAAAAAAAATGAAAAACCCAGCCAGCTGTAATCCCAGTGGCTTCTAGAGGCTGAGGCAGCAGGATGCCCATAGCCACAGTCTGAGGTTGCAGTGAGCTATGATGACATTGCACTCTGCTCAGGGCATAGGGTGGAACTCTGTCTCAACAAAAAAAATTCTTAAAGCAAAGAAATTTTAAAAAAAACTTATGTCGCAAACCAGAGTGGAATGAGTGGGGAATGAGAAAAATACACCACAAGAGAAGACAGAGACAAAAGCTGGGATCGGGAGGACTAACTGAGCTGATGGCTACAGCCAGCACCAAAGTACAAAATCAGCTTTATTTTATAGTATCTGTCCAATGGGAAGTAGCATAAACAATATGGGGAAATAACATAAACAAAAAACATTTTTGCTCTTACAGGAAAATGCAGATGACTTGAATAAAGACAAATCTTCTTGTTAATGGTTTCTTCTCAACTTCGTTAACATAAGAAGAAGGAGAGATCACAAGAATCTCTCTGCATAGTTAACAAAACAAAGGAAGAACTATATCTTAGTGGTTACTACTCAACTTTGTTAGCATATGACAAGGAGAAGGAAGGGAAAGATTACAAGGATCTCTACATAGTTAGCTAGACAAAGAAAGAGCTATGTGACTTCTGGCAGAGGGAAGCATGAAGAAAGGAATATGGTTGTTTTGGGAATGGAGGAGAGGCAGTTGAGGGTTCATTCCCTGAATGTTCTCCAGGCTATGGGGGCCCTGCCTCCTCACACCCACTCTCCACAGACTTGAATAGACATTTTTCCATGTAAGATATGTAAGTAGCCAATAAGTACATAAAAAGGTAAGTCATTAGCAACCTACAAATCCAGGCCACAATGAGATACCACATCATATCCGTTAGGATGGCTAATGTCAGTAAACAGGAAAATTACAAGTTTTGACAAGGATATGGAAAAATCAGAACTCCCTTGGATTTGTTGATGATACAGTAAAATGGTGCAACCACTGTGGAAAACATTTTGGTGGTTCCTCTAAACAGAATTGTCATATGATCCAGCAATTCCACTCCTGAGGATATACCCAAAAGAACTAAAAACAGATTCAAACAGATACTTTTACAAGAATATTCATAGCAGCACTAATTTGCACTAGGCAAAGGGTAGAAACAACTCAAGAACCCAAGTTATCCATCAATGGATATATGTGTGATGTGTACATTCAGTGGAATATTATTTAGCCCTAACAGAAATGAAATTCTGATACATGTTACATCACGGAGGAACCTGGAGAACACTATGTTAAGTGAAATAAGCCAGTCACAGATAAAAATTGTATGATTCACGTATGTGAGATAACTAGAATAGCCAAATTGGCAATTTTATAAAAACAGAAAGGAAAACATAGGTTACTAGGGACTTCAGGGGTAGGGAAGGGAGGAGACTTGTTTAATGGTTGCAGAATTTCTGTTTGGGATGATAAAAAAGTTCTATAAATAGGTAGTAGTGATGCTTACAGAACATTGTGAAAGTACTAAATTCCATTTACACTTAAATATGGTTAAAATGGTAAATTTTATATCTATTTTAGCACATTTTTTTAAATGAGGGGAACAGATTATCTCAGTCAGTAGACATTTAATAATGCCAGGAATCCAAAAGTGAGTAAGTCACAGTGTTCAACCTGAAAAATGGAACCTGTACACTTGATTACAGTTACATGGTCTGCACAGAAAAAATCTGTCCCAGAGGAGAATCTATTGTGTGTTTTGACTTATAGTGACTGGGTTTGAAATGTTACAAGGGAGTTTTACACAAACAGCTATGTCCTGGATGATTCTTTACACAGGGGAACAACAGGGTGATTCATAGTAGCATAGCCTTGGTTATCCCATCAAATGTTATACTGCTTTGCATTATGAGAACATGATATTCCAGAGGGATTTTATACATTTTTAATATCCTAATACATTAATTGGTGCTTCTTAACAGGTATCCAAACACAGGTTTATCATGATTGCTATTAAGACTATATATGGTGTTATGTGACGATAGCAAACTTCAATGTATTAAATGCTCATTGGACACCATACATTATACTGAGAATTTAATTTTCAATTAAATTTTCAATTTTCAGCAGCTCTATGAGATAATTGCCACAATTGTCCCCATTTTTCAGATGACAAGGTAAAAAGACTATGTAAATGTCCCAGTTACCAACTAAGAATTGAACATAGGTGTCTTTGATTTCAGAACCCAACGTCTGGTTTCTTCAAAAGTAAAAATGTAAGGAAATTGAAACATGTCTGTTTGTCATTGTTGTCATCGTTTACATCCACAATTTACAATTAGGTGTTAATGTTGCCTTCTATTGGAAGTGAATTTTTGAATCTGGGAAATCCTTCAAAGCAGCGGTTCTCAACCTGTGGGTCACAACCCACAGGAACTATATTAAAAGGTCATGGCATTAGGAAGGTTGAGAACCACTGCTTCAAAGTGCCAGTGAGTGTTATGACAAGATGCTCTTATTGAGTCTTACTATGACATGATTAGTGTGGGCCTAAATTTGCCATTTGACAATTCTCTCTTGTTAACAAAGGCCTTTTGTCTTATTTACTTGCTGGAACATACTATGTTATCTTTTTAATATTAATAGAATTATTTTTATTTAATATTTTCTAAAATAAAATGGCTTGGGGCTCGGCGCCTGTGGCTCACGTGGCTAAGGCACCAAGCCACATACACCTAAAGTGGCGGGTTTGAATCCAGCCTAGCCGCCCAACCACCATTGTGGGTTGCACCCAAAAAATAGCTGGGTGTTTGGAGGGTGCCTGTGTTCCCAGCTACTTGGGAGGCTGAGGCAGGAGACTTGCTTAAGCCCAGGAGTTGGAGGTTGCTGTGAGCTGTGATATCAGAGCACTCTACCCAGGGGGACAGCTTGAGGCTCTGTCTCAAAAAAAAAAAAAAATGGCTTGGTATAAGGCTGTGATTTTTTTATAATTGGAAGAGACTTCTGCCTCTTCCTCCACAACAGTTATTTTGAGCTGACTGCATTCTCCTCAGACCTGCCCTGTTGCTTCTTACCTCACAGATGATGTCATCCTCACTAGTGAAAAAAATGCAAAACAGCATTCTCTGAACTTTCTGTCCCTCCCATGCAGGTTTCCCTACATCCTCATTGCTTGCAGTCTCCTGAGGGAATGCCCTTACTCCTTTGACTCGTATTACCATTTTTGCATTTTAACAACTTCCAAATCAGTACCTCTGGGTTCCAGATGTCCCGTGGAGACCTTAAACATGTTCACAGCTGACCTCAGCTTCCCCCCTCTCCTTCAACCTAGGGGCTTTTCCTGGGCTCGCCTTCCCAAGCAGTGTACCACCACCCAGTACTCAGATACCAGCCTATCTAATCAGTCCTTTATGTGGCCATCAAAGTGCACATCCTAAAATATAAAGATTAATGGCTCGTCCCCTGAGCATGTCCCCATTGCCCTATGGATTAAGTCCAGATACCTTAACGTGTCTTAGACACTCCACAGTCTGGCCAGTGCTGCTCTCCTCCCTTCATCACCCTCCTCCTACTAACCTCTGACCCATCCCTGGTGAAGTGCTTGCAGCTCTTGGAGTGGCTGTGCTCTCTAGCCAACTCACCTTGTCCCTCCCCTCAGCTTAACATCCTCTCTCTGGGTACCCATGGGCCCCTGCAGCTCTGATCTAAGGAGACCTTGTCACTGGTTGTCCTTGCAACTTTTCCCCACCTCACAGTCACAGCACAATGTTTGGCATCTGGTAAACTCAATAGTTGTTTATCAAGTGGATGAAGCAAACATTTGCCTGGAAGAAACTGGGTTTGTTTTCCTGTAGAAATGCAGTCATACCATAGTTCTATCACTATTCTACTTTAGATACAAGAAACTTATAGACTTGGTGAGGCCCTAAAAATACTGTGTATACTGCATTTTTCAGTATAAACATATATAGACAACTAGTTTTTATGTGTAGTTTACACATTTTAGGAATAAAACCCCAAGTTGAGGCTTCCTATGTTTTCAAAACACTTATATGTGTCTCCCATTAGAATTTAAGCTCTGTCAGAATTTCTGTTACTCCTCACTTTGCCTCTTGGGCCCAGATTAGAACAGGACATGGCATCCTATGAGTACTCAGAAAATAAAGGTTATTGAATATGGCAATGCTGCTTGATGGTGCAGGGAAGCATGAATATTTTTGAATATTTTGAATAGTTGCAGTGATGTCAATAAGCCAATTTACTAAAATGTATAAAGTTCTGGGGATAAAATGCTTTGCTTTTCCTTAATGATTCTATGATTAGAGAGTTTGAAGGGAGAATGGCCTATTATATAGTTCAATTATTTTGATATTTAGGACCCTGAGATGTGGTGCCTAGCTTTTATCAAGAACAGTAAAAATAAACATAAGGTCACTTGATAAGCACTTGCTCACTCTGTCCTCTCTAGTATCAGTCCCCTGTGTGTTACTGACATAAGACACTTAGGCACACTTAGCTTTGAAAAAGTTACTTCCCCTTCACCTTATATCCATTGGCAAGAAAAAATGAATTCTAACTGTTACCCAGAGTCTGTAAAAATTTGAATTTTATTACCAGAACAGATTTCCATCTGCAAATTTGGAGAAACTAAATGAACCTTGGCCTTACCCCTAGCACATCTTCATTCTTTCCATTCTTTATTTTCAGGTTCCATCTTTCCTTGCTTCTGCTGACTGCTTTGGTCAATGGAAAAACGTTTGGTTGTACTGATAGAGAAGAGATTTCTTTCACTGAGTAATTTGCTTTGTTTTTCAGTCTGCTCCCTCTGGACACAAACACCTGACTGTGGAAGAATTATTTGGAACTTCTTTGCCAAAGGAACAGCCAGCGGCTGTGGGTCTGGATTCAGAAGATATGGAAAGGCTGCCAGGAGATGTTTCCCAGAAAGAACCCAGTTCATTCCTACCATTTCCCTTTGAGCACTCAGGAGGAGCCCCTCAATCAGAAAACCTGGGTGTCCTTTCTGCTGCCCATCACTCTGCCCAACCTGAAGTCACCACTCCGGTGCTAATCACTCCAGCCTCCATCACACAAACTAGTGAGAAGCATGCCCCAAGCTACACAATCCCTATGAGCCCTGTGCTCAGTCCCACTCTGCCGGCTGAAGCTCCTACTGCCCAGGTTCCCCCCAGCTTACCTCGAAACAGCACCATGGTGCAGGCAGTGAAGACCACACCTAGACAGAGGTCTCCACTCCTGAACCAGTCAGTCCCTGATCTAAGCCACACCAGTCTGATTGCCAACCAGAGCCCCTTCAGGGCACCACTAAGTATGACCAACACAGCTGGCACATCCCTCCCAAGTGTTGATCTTCTCCAGAAACTCAGGTTGACTCCACAGCATGACCAAATACAGACACAGTCACTTGGGAAAGGTGCAATGGTACCCAGCTTTTCTTCAGCCGCTGGTCAGCTGGCCACACCCGAGAGCTTCATAGAACCTCCCTCTAAGACGGCAGCAGCAAGAGCAGCAGTCTCAGCCTCCCTGAGCAACGTGGTGCTTGCTCCCCTTCAGGTAGTAAAATGGGGATGTGATGAAACTACAAAGGGGGATGGAGATGTGATGTGGGTGATGGAGAGTAGGAACAACATGTAAAAAAGGGAGGATAAACAAGGGACAGACTATGCAGGCCTGGGATGTTCTGCTGTCAGAGCAATGGGAAGAAAGGGGAGGATTGTAGGCAGATTCATTGCTGTGGCTTCTGAAAGTCTCAAGTCATCTCTATGGTCCCTGGCTGTGGGTATATAGGGCAGGTCACAGGGTGGGCCCTCACTCAGTGTTTGTGAATGGGTGACCATCAGGAGTTCAGCAGCCTGATTTATCTCCCATCCAAGAACTGACCAGGCCCAACCCTGCTTATCTTCCAAGGTCTTTTTTGAGACACAGCCTCAAGCTATTCCCCTGGGTAGAGTATCGTGGCTTCACAGCTCACAGCAACCTCCAACGCCTGGGCTTAAGCGAGTCTCCTGCCTCAGCCTCCCAAGTAGCTGGGACCACAGGTGCTGCCACAATGCCTGGCTATTTTTTTTTGGTTGCAGCCATCATTGTTGTTTGGCGGGCCCAGGCTGGATTTGACCCCGCCACCTTAGGTGTATGTGGCTGGTGCCTTAGCCACTTGAGCCACAGGCGCTGAACCAAGCCTGACTTCTTAAGCCCTGGAAGAGCTGTGGTGTCCTGGGGGTAGAGCCACTGCTCTGCCACAATCCTATCCTTTCTTCCCATTGCTTCGCATTGCTATGCAGAATGTCCCAGGCCTATATAGTCTGTCCCTTGTTTGTCTGCCTTTGCCTCATTTTTTACATATTGTCCCCTCTCTCCATCACCCACAAATAGGGATGTGATGAAACTACAAAGACCTTGGTCTTAACTGACATGAAACAGATAATTTTAAAGATTTGTCTCTTTAAAGTTTGTCGGGCTGGGAACCAGGAGAGGTAAGAATACCTAGAGTGAACAGCTAAATAATTGGTTAATGATGGTGTATATTCTGTTTCTCAGAATTATTTCAAGTGATAAAATCTAAGAAATCATGTTTGTATTTTCCTATCAAGATATGCATTTTAGGGTTGGTTTGTTTGTTTTGTTTTTGTCTAATAATTGCAGTAGTACTCATTTGACTCAGGACCATAGATGCATATTTTTTCTTTGTTCGTTTATTTCTTTGTTTTGCAGTTTTGGCTGGGTCTGGGCTTGAACCCACCAACCTTGGTATGTGGGGCTGGCACCCTACTCCTTGAGCCACAGGCGCTGCCAGGACCATAGATCCAAATGACTCCAAGCTTAGTCTCTTTCCCAACCCCCTAGTATTCTCCTGAGTGCCTGCCTTGTGCCAGGTACTGTAGGGGGTGCCATAAGAACATCCCAGATTTGAAACATCCCAGGTGTGAAATCAAATAAAACTTCCTAACGAAACTGAAGTTTGAGCTAAGATCCAGCAACTCCTCAGGAGAAGTTAGCCAGGCCTTTTCCTAGAACTGGAAAAAGTATTTGAGGCAAGAATGGTCTGTGTAGTGGCCTGGATATGAAAGGGCATTGGTGAACTTAAAGAAATGTAGTGTGACTGGATTTACGATATAAAGAAAGTTGGAGGCGCCAGTATTAGGAGATGAAAAAGACTTTATGTAGGGTGGGCGCAGTGGCTCACACCTATAATCCTGGCACTCTGGGAGGCTGAAGCAAGTGAATCAACTGAGCTCAGGAATTCACGATCAGCCTCAGCAAGAGTGAGACCCTCTCTCTAAAAATAATCAGTTGTTGTGGCAGGTGCCTATAGTCCCGGCTCCTCGGGATGCTGAGGCAAGAGGATCCTTGAGCCCAAGAGTTTGAAGTTGCTGTGAGCTGTGATGCTATGGCACTCTACCCAGGGCAACAGAGTGGGACTCTTGTCTCAAAATAAAGAAAGAAAAAGACTTCATAAATTGTGTTAAGGAGTTTGAGTTTTGTTTCAGAGCCCTGGAAGTCTCGGAGGGGGTTTGAGGAAAGAGTGATGTACTAGAAAAGAGAAGACAAGAATAGGACCTGTCATCCAGGCTTGAACTGATGAGGGCCTGAATTTAGGGGTATGGACAGGTGGAGATGTCTCAGCAGTGGGACTTAGTTGGGGATTGGGTGTAGAAGGTAAAGAAAAGTTTGTCTCACAATAATTTATAAGGTTGGTGAGTTTGTAAACAAGAAAATCAGTTCAGAGTTCAAGTGACTGGTGCAGAATCACAGAACTGAAAGAGGGTAGAGCTACTGCTCTGAAACAGTATCGGGATTTTAGTCTCTGCCCTTTAATGATCTTCATCATCATTAATCTTTTAACATTTTACCAAATAATATTGTATAGAAAAGCCCTTCATAATTATTATACATTGTTTCTTAGGGGATATTTTACCCCCTTCCTTTGAAATCTTATATCAAAATAAAGGAAACTAAGCCAGGTGCAGTGACTCACGCCTGTAATCCTAGCACACTGGGAGGCTCAGGTGGATCACCTGAGCTCTTAGGCCAGCCTGAGCAAGTGCGAGACCCCACCTCTAAAAAATAGACAGGTACTATGGCGGGCGCCTGTAGTCCCAGCTACTTGGGAAACTGAGACAAGAAAATCACTTGAGCCCAAGAGTTTCAGGTCGCTGTGAGCTATGCCACAGTATTCTACTGGGGGCAACAAAATGAGACTCTGTCTCAAAAATAATAATAATAATAAAGGAAACTATTTTGTATCTTGGTCACTCACATTCATTACATTGTCATTCTTTGGCCATTTCTGCTGAAGTTCTCTGAACTATAAAACAGAGAGAGAATGTTCTCTTCAACAGATAAGTGTCATACACTTAAAATGGGCTTGCTGGCTTGGCGCCTGTGGCTCAAGTGGCTAAGGCGCCAGCCACATACACCTAAGGTGGCCGGTGAATCCAGCCCAGGCCTGCCAAAAACAATGACGGCTGCAACCAAAAAATAGCCAGGCATTGTGGCGGGCGCCTTTGGTCCCAGCTACTTGGAAGGCTGAGGCAGAAGACTCACTTGAGCCCAGGAGTTGGAGGTTGCTGTGAGCTGTGATGCCATGGCACTCCATCCAGGGGGACAGCTTGAGGCTCTGTCTCAAAAAAAAAAAAATGGGCTTGTTGCCCCTGTTGTAGTTGCTCTGGAAATCTAACCAGTAATCTTGAACCCTGCCCTCTCCAGATTCTGACCTCTGGGACGGAACCCCTGCCTCCTAGCAGGGGATGCTTACATTTACTAAAATTTTTCATTTACCTGTCAGTGGCCAAGTTTAAGAGCCGGGACTTTTTTGAATTCAAATGCATTTGCTCTACAAGTTCTTTGTCTCCAATGAATAAGGGCATCCCGGGCAGCACCTGTGGCTCAGTGAGTAGGGCGCTGGTTCCATATACCGAGGGTGGTGGGTTTGAACGCAGCCTCAGCCAAAACTGCAACAAAAAAATAGCTGGGTGTTGTGGCAGGCACCTGTAGTCCCAGCTACTCAGGAGGCTGAGGCAAGAGACTCACCTGAGCCCAAGAGCTAGATGTTACTGTGAGCTATGACACCACAGAACTCTACCAAGGGCAACAGGGTGAGACTCTGTCTCTAAAAACAAACAAACAAATGAATAAGGGCATCCCTTAGTGAAAATTTTTAGTTCTCAAGCCAAGTATTCTTCTGTATAAAGGCTATCTAGTGCCATTTGTCCAAGTTTTATTTTTGTTTTGGAGTGTTTTATTTTGTTTTGAGACAAGAGTCTCACTCAGTCCACCTGGCAACAGTGCTGTGGCATCATCCTAGCTCACAGCAACCTCAAACTCTTGGACTCAAGAGATCCTCTTGCCTCAGCCTACCCAGTAGCTGCAATTACCGGTGCCCACCATAATACCTGGCTAGTTTTTTCTGTTTTTAATAGAGATGGGGGTCTTACTCTTGCTCAGGCTGGTCTTGAACTCCTGAGCTCAGTCAACCACCCACCTTGGGCTCCCAGTGCTAGGATTACAAACGTGAGCCACTGTGCCCGATCACCTGTCCAAATTTAAGTCACTTTATTCAGAAGTATCATGCTTCCTGGATCTGTCATCTCTCCAGACTCAGCAGCAGAAAAAGTCTACCCAGGCTGTCCCTGGGTAGACTTGTAAGGGCTTTACAGGCATCCCTTTCCTGAGGGGAGCTAAAGAGAAGGAGTGGTCCAAGAGCTCTCGTGCAGCTCATCCGGGTTGCATCGTCACAACCAGCCTCTTCCCTCATTAGTTAATGTCTGCACCAGTCCCCATTTGCCAACCTAGAAATTGCTCCAGTAGCTAGGAAATCTTCTTAGTTGAAACTTGCTACATCTATTCATCTTTTCTTTTTAAACATTTCAGTCTATGCAGCAAAACCAGGATCCCGAAGTATTTGTTCAGCCTAAGGTGTTATCCACTCCTGTCCCGGTAAGGACTTCTTTTATCTGAAGAACACTATGTATTTTTTAAGTTCTTCTCCTGGGTGTGAATTAAAACGTTTTCACTTTAGTGAAAAATGTTAGCTTTCAAGCCAAGGTCCATCCATCTTAGATGCTTCTCCTAGGCCAGGCTCCCCTGCCCCATCAGTCACATTCACTGCGTGGCTTCTGAAGGTCTCGAGTCATCTCTGTATGGTCCCCTGGCTGTGGGTATAGAGGGCAGGTCACAGGGTGGGCCATCCCTCAGTGTTTGGGAATGGGTAACCATCAGGAGTACAGCAGCCTGATATATCTCCCATCCAAGAACTAACCAGGCCCAACCCTGCTTAGCTTCCAAGGTCCTATAAGATCAGAAGCTTTCAGGGTGGTATGGCCATAGATAAACCTGACTTTTTTTTTTTTTTTTAAGAGACAGAGTTTCATCTTGTTGCCCTCAGTAGAGTGCTGGGCCTCACAGCAACCTCCACCTCTTGGGCTTAGGTGATTCTTTTGCCTCAGCCTCCAATGTAGCTGGGACTACAGGTGCCCACCACAACACCCGGCTATTTTTTTAGCCGGGGCCGGGTTCAAACCGCCACCTTTGGTATATGGGGCCGGCACCCTACTCACTGAGTCACAGGCGCTGCCAAAGCCTGACTTCTTAAGCCCTGGAAGAGCTGTGGTATCCCCGAGTGATGGGGGGTGGGCAGAGCCACTGCTCTGCTACAATCCTCTCCTTTCTTCCCATTGCTTTGACAGCAGAATGTCCCAGGCCTGCATAGTCTGTCCCTTGTTTGTCCTCCCTTGCCTCATTTTTTACATGTTGTCCCCACTTTCCATCACCCATAAACCTTGAAATACATGTTCTTTTTCTCAGTTCTTTTTTTTTTTTTTTTTT